GCCACTTCACGCCGGACCAGGCAATCCCCCCCCCCCGCCCCCTCCCCCCCCTTCTCGTCGGGCCCAGGCCCTGGAGATCAATGCCTTGTTCAAGCTCTTGGACCAGAAGTTCCAGTGGTTCACCTCGCGGGCGGGCACGGCGAAAAGGATGGTCAAGGATTTGGACATCTCCAAACCAACAAAGGCACGCGGGCAGAACTCTGCCGTAAGGATCCCGAGGGGCAAATGCACGGAGGACGCGGGGGAAACTGTCCTCCTGAGGAGCCAAACCCTGGCGCATTCCGTCTCGCGGGCTGTCCATTGGTCACGCGACCTTGGATTCTTTATCAAGAGTTTCCTTGTATCCACTGCCCCTGCCTTAATCCCCTTCTGGATTAGCGGAGGCCGGGACGTGGGCCCCGCGATCTTGCCCAGGCAAAGGGCAAGGCGAAGGGCAACAAGGGCGACCCCAACAAAGCCAAACAGGGGAAGGGGGAGCAGGCGTAGTAGGCTTATAGGGGCATCGGCGAATGCGTAGCAACGAGCTACGCACTGGGGTTGCAAGCTGCCGGGAGGGCTCCGCGCAGCGCCGCGGTTGCAGCCCGGGCGTTCCAGGTCTCCCTCACCCACCTCGCACTGTTTAAACGATGCCATACACACAACGACTCCGAGGTCTGGGCGGATTTCTTGGATCGGCGCTGGACCCCCCTCCCTGGCGCGCGGAGCGCAGCAAGGGTGGCGCCAGGGGCGCCGCCAAGGGGTCCAGCGCCGATCCAAGAAATCCGCGCGGACCTCGGAGTTGTCATGTTCATGTCGTTCGTGCATTGCATCTCTGTGCCCCGCTTCTCTCCCGAGCTTCTCCTGGCGCCTGGGCGCGGCAGCTTGCGTGACATTCAGACCGAGGGGCTTTTGCGAACGGTTGTTCGGCTGTGGGGAATAACGCCGCACCGCCTGCTCGGCTGCTCATGCGTGGTTTCCTTTGTTATCGCGCCCACTCGCCCGGCTCCTGCCCCGTGTCCCCCCCCCTCTCCCCTTATCCCCCTCCTCCTCACTCCCTCCATTTCCTTCTCCTTCTCCTTTCCCCCCCTTCTCCATTCCCCGTCCCCCGCGCCATCGTGATCATCTCCCCCACTATCTACCCCTATTGTGGTCGTTATCATGGCCATTGAAATCTCGGGCCGAGGCCGACCTTGAATTCGAATAGAAATCGTCGATGTCCCTCGGGGCCCGTTCGGCACCATTGCATATCCTTCATCTCGAAAACTAGTCCCGCCAGCTCGCTTCGTGGCAACTCTTCAAGCTTCGCGCATCCCCGCCAGCCCATCCAAGAGCCAGGCGAGTTGCCTCGAGAAAGCATGTGTCGCGTGCCCCCTGGTCTTTTTGGGTGCCTCTCGGGCGCTTCTCTGGGGCCTCTCGAGGCCCCCTTGGGGTTTCGCTTCGGGGCTCGGGGCCGTCGCCGTCCGAAGGGAAGAGTGGTGGGTTTATACAACGCCCCCCCTAAACCACCTTTCCTTCCCCCTCCCGCCCCCTGCCCGCGTGCCCCGGCCTGTGCCGCGCCGAAGGTGGCGACATCTTCGGCAACTCCAGCGCGGCCAGCAGCTGCGACCTGGAAAGGCCGAGGATTCCCTCTCGCGGCAGCGCGGGGTCGAGAGCGGAGGAAGATACAGAAGGAAAGGGGGAGCAAGAGGATGAGTAGGAGGAGGTGGAGGAGGAGGAGAGCAGGGGGAGGGAAAATCCAGGATGGCGAGGAAGAGGAGATCAGGGAGGGGGGGGAGGATGGAGGCACGTGGGGGGAGAGAACGGAGAGAAAGAGCACGAGGAAGAAGCAGTAGGAGGAGCGGAGTGCATCATGGAGGATGAAGGGGCACTGGGAAGCGAGGCGAGGGGGGGGCGAGTCGAGGAAGACGGCCCTGGGGTGAAAAGCCCACCCTCCCCTGAGCGAAGTGGGCGTTGGAGATTTACTGTTCGCATGCCGCGCGAGGAAACGCCAACGTTTGTCTATGTTGCCTGAGTCGGAGAACTTCGACGATTATGCTGAAGCGCTCTCCGATGGTATGCATGTATCAACGTTATTACGCATGGCGCGTTCACAGTGCAAAGAAGGCGTGCAACCAGAGCGCATCAGAGCACTTGCCTCGATTGGGAGTAGGCCGAGCAATGAGGAGAGGGACATGATGACATGGATGAGGGGGTACGGGGGTCTCAACTTGGAGCCATACATGTTAAAAGTGGATTTGCAAATTGATCGGAAACGTCCCGCCACCAACTCCACATTGTTACCAGTGCTGGCACCCACAGAGGTATTGCATGCTATTTGGGGCTTGGGTATGCATCAATTTAGCACGTCGTTTTTGGACCCTCTATCAGATTCGGGTTGCAGTGAATTTTGGGACTGGGCTTGTTCTTACCCTTGGGGTGCGGATCATCCGGCCATGCAGGACTGTGCGGACCGCAACGCCATATTGCCGATCATGTGGCACACAGATGGTGTCGAGTTCCACGCGCGCTCTGAACACATCACATATTCTTGGGAATCGATCTTGAGCATCGATGGCAATGTTTGGGACAAGAAGCTATTGTTATGCAGCATACCGCTCAAACACATGAGCCACAAAAAAGTGCGGACAGCCGTGCTGAAACATGTGACTGACTACATCGCGTGGCAACACGAAGTACTTTTGACAGGCC